GTGCTCTCTCCAACAATGTCTGGTTCATCCTTTCTGCAACGCCATTTTGCTGGGGTGTATCTCTAACAGTCTGATGACGGGCAATCCCTTCATCCTTGCAGAATTCGTTGAACTCAGAATTACAGAAACTCCAGACCATTGTCCGTTCGCAGCTTCTTGATCTTCTTCCCGGTCTGATTCTCCACCAATGTCTTCCACTTGCTTGAACTTCGTGAAAGCCTCACTTTTCTGCTTCATCATGAAAATCCAAGTAAATCTCGAATAATCATCAATAATAGACAAAAATACCTGCTGCCTCCAATGGATTCAACTCGTGAAGGACCCCAACAGTCGGAAGTGGAGGTAATCCAGTATCCCCTTCGTCCGGTGGATACCCTTCTTGGGAAACTTGCTGCGATGTAGCTTCCCAAACACACAATGCTCACATAATTCCAAATTCTGCACCTTGTGCCCACAAAGAAGTATCCCTCTTCGATAGAACTTGCATCCCCCGTTCACTTCATATGCCCCAGTCTCATGTGCCAGAGAGTGGTCATGTCTTCCTGTTGAACCTGAGACGATGCAACTACAGCAGAAACCAGACAACACATACCCTTGTAATGCATACAAGGTCCCACGCTTCACGCCCTTCAGCACCTTCCTTGAACCTTTGCAGACATACACAACTCCACCTTTTCCTTTGAAGCTGAAGCCCTTGCTGTCGAGTAGACTCAAGGAGATCAGGTTCTTTGTCATTCGTGGAACATGTCTGACATCATTCACGGTACAGAATGAACCATCATGTGTCCGAACCTTTATGGACCCGATTCCAGCAACCTTGCAGACAGCTCCATTAGCCATGACCACGTTTACCACCATCTATCTGCTCGTAGATTGTGAAACAATCCCTGTTCGGAGACATATGGTATGAGGCTGCAGTATCCAGAAACCACACATCACCACGATGTTGCCTTCTCATCTATAGCCAAGGCGAGATCGTCTTCAGAACTGTTGTCCACTTCTGCCACGGCAACTGAACCTTGTTTCTTCTGTTGCCCTCTTCTCTTGGGACAGCTGTACTTCCAATGCCCCACTTCCTTACAGTTGTGACAAGCATCACCTGGCTGTGGACCGGAACCCTTGGAATTCTTGTTCGAAATCCCTTTACCAGATTTCTTCTTTCCAATCCACCTGTAACAGCCAAACCCGATGCCTCACCACCTGTACCAGAACCAGACGCCTTATGTCTGATCTCTCTCGTATGAAGAGCAGACCTGACATCCTCCAACGACACGCTTTCTTTACCAGCAATAAAAGAATCAACAAAATTCTCATATGAACTCGGCAAAGAAACCAGCAGGATTAGGGAAGCATCCTCGTCATCAACTTGAACATCTATATTACGCAGATCCAGCAAAATAGAGTTAAGCTGTTCGAGATGTTCCCTCAAAGGCGTACCTTCTTGCATCCTCAAGCTGAACAACCGTTGCTTGAGATGCAGCTTGTTGGTTAAGGACTTCGTTCATATACAGACTCTCCAACTTTAACCACAAGCCCGCGATAGTCTTCTCAGCAACGACTTCAATGATGACGTCATCAGACAACGATAGCATGATGGTCGAGTGAGCCTTCTCCTCCAGGGTATTCCACTCATCGTCATCGACCGCTGCCTTCTTCTGTTTCGCAGACAGCGGCCCCCACAAGCCCTTGCTGTTTCAATAAAGCATGCATCTTGATCTGCCATATAGCGAAGCTGTTCTTCCTCGTGAAGTTTTCGATCTTCATGTTCACCGACGTCATTCTTCTGAATCGAAAACCCTAGCCTGATTTCCAGCCGCGGTTCTGATACCACTTGTTATAAACGCGCTGCTACGGATCGGGAAATCGCCGTAATCGACAAAACAAGAATACGAAAGCAAGAATCGAAAAACACAAACACACGATTTACGTGGTTCACTAACACGATGTGTGTTAGCTACGTCCACGGGCGAGAGAGAGCCAGTTTCACTATATCGAGGAGATTACAAATTACAGAGGAGTATGAGAAGTATTTATAGTACTTCTCCATGTGGGTCTAAACCTAATTCAATCTAGCAAAGGAAACGGTTACAGACCAGGCCCAGAACCCGAACCCAAATAACATTGAGCCATACACCGTGGGCCGGGGGCGTTGCCCCTGGACCCCACTCGCTGACCGGGCAGCGAGACCTCCGATTACAGTCGTAGCGGCTGATAGTCCGATTCAAGTCACATCAACATATGGTTTGGTTTCTCATACTTTTGTATGCCTTTTGTGGTTTGGTTTATCGTGTTTGTGGTTTGCATTAAGAAGTTTCTGGTGTGCTTTCGAAACTTTTGTGGTTTGGATTGTGAGGTTTCTGGTTTGTTTTAATATATTTGTGGTCTGCATTGGGACGTTTATGGGTTTTTTTTTTGTGGTTTGCTTTTCCGTGTTTGTGGTTTGCATTAGGGTGTTTTTGGTGTGTTTTTCAAAATATTTATGGTTTGCTTTGTGAGATTTCTGGTTTGTTTAGGAGGCTTGTGGTTTGCTTTAGAAGGTTTCTGGGATGCTTTTATGTGGTTTGTTTTATCGCATTTGTGGTTTGCATTAGGAGGTTTTTGGTGTGTTTTAGAAATAGTTGTGGTTTGCTTTGTGGTGTTTCTAGTATGTTTTACGCAATTTGTGGTATATATTAGGAGATTTCTGGTATGCTTTAAAAATAAATTATAGTATATTTTGTGATATTACTATTATGTTTTGAAAGATTAGTGGTTTGTATTATGAGATAATCTAATGGAACACATGACAATAATTAACACAAAACATCATATCAATTTTCCACATAATCGCAATCTTACAACACCACTTGGGAGCCCACCTCTTCCTCCTCATCAACATCCAACAAGCACCACCAACTCAACCTCCAGCAGCCCTTCACCCAAATCTTGATAGAAGTAGACAAGCTCACCACCACCTTCACCCATATCCTGTGAATTGAGCTTCACGAGAGGGTTTTCCGACAAGGAGAGGATTCCTTCTACACAGTCATTTTCCCCCAACACCTTGAGGACGAATCACCGACGGGTGAAGTTGTAGAAGATGCAAGCGTGGTGCGGGAGATGTTCATCATTGCCAAATCCGGTTTCCACAGCGCTGCCAGTCTCCTCCCTTGCCTAAATTAAAAATCAATCAGACTATCAGAAACATCAATTGGTTCCGGCGTCCTTCAGCTCCTCCTCGCTACCCTGCACCCCGTCGACGATCCCCAGCCTCGCCGCTTCCGCTCTCCTAATTTTCATTCTCGAAGCAGCGCATCCGGCCGGGCGGAAACCGTCCCGAGCTTGGCCGAAACAGGACGCTGAAATAGTCCGACAAGGGAATCTCGAGATCGCTCATGTACAGAACCTCCCAGTCACTCCTCATGAGCACGTAATCGTGTCACAGGGCGAGGGCGAACCCAGCGGCGGCGTGGCCTTGGACGACGGCGACGGTTCTGGGATTTGGCTTGGCGGAGAGAAAAGAAGACGGTGGCGATTACGGTCGGGCTGAGACGGTGGTCGTCCTTGACGTCGGGTGAGCGGCGATGAACTCGTGGTGCCGCCGTCGCTGCAATTGTTGAGAGAAGCGCAGATTGGGGGAGCAGGGTTAATTCGTTGCTTTTTTTGTTTCAAATTAATTTTTTTTATTTTGTCAATTTACTCTTTTATCCTTGTTGTTACTATAACAACATTATGGCTGTTGTTATGCTATTCGGCCCCTTATTCACCCAACCAACTTATCAATTATCATTAATGCATTGAATTACTTATTTGTGAAGGTTCTTTTCATATTATATTATTTTGTGTCCCTTGGTAATTGGTAATATACCAAATATAAAGTAAGAATTGAAAACAAATTGTTTACTGTGTTTCCTTCTCATAAGTAATAATTGAGTAAACATAGGTTATGCATAACACAAAAATTTGGAGTTGTCCACATAATATACTCTCAACATATACCATGTAAATCCATTGTATTGCATTAATACAGGAAAGAAACTCCATATATCAGTAGGAGGACATACGTTCTTTATTTTATTTATGATAATATTTTATTTAAGAAATTTGAGCATAGATATTTCCCCTACAATCGTTATGAAAGGTGAGATAAATTATTTGTTAGATAATTAAGTCTACAATTTGTCTACCATAAATTCACATTACATCTAATATGAAACACCTCAACAATTACAGTCAATTTATAATTTAAATAAGGTAAAAATAGTAATCTATTAATCTAATGACAAATACTCAAACATTTGAGCAATCAATAAACCAGCAAATTTTCCAAAATTCAACATTTGAGGATGATTATTATTTTGGCATGTTTGATTAAGATTAACAATATATTTTGTACTTTATTTTAGATTTCTAATTAGTTATCTCATATTGAAATACTCTATAAAATTACAAATTAAGTAATCTTAGTTGCTAACACAAAACTGGATCACTTATAGATTAAAAATAAATTATTAATAAATTATCTGTTGTGTCGATTCTCTTTGAGCAACATTTCTTTTCTCCCTAAATATATAAAAAATGAGTGTCATCTTATAGAGTTTAACCAATATAATTTTTCTATATATAGAAAATTGAAATCCGAGTTAAAACGAATTACATATGATCAATTAAAGTTCTTCACACTAATATATGAAGTTGATCTCTACTCAATCCTAATTCTATTGGGTCACCATCATGCTAATATATATTTTGATTGAAATTCATTATAATAATATCAATAATAATATTTTAATTCTTAGTTAAATCGGAAAACCCCATAGAAAATTTTTGTACCATGTTTTTTTAATGACAAATATATATATATATATATATATATCATATTAATTTATTTAATTTCAAAAGACAAAAAAATCCCTCCTAAACTTACTCAGAAGCCTCGAATTCTAAAATTGAGTATGTTCTTTCGGAGAACATCGATATATATTTGTATATTTACCAAACTTATCAAAGACAAAGGGAGATGGGCAGCGGCCAAGTTGATATGAAAGCCGTGGCCCCGTCGTTGTTTTTGTTTCAAAAAATCATTTCTCCCCTCTCGGGTAAATACCCACTCTCTCTCCCCCGCTCCTCTCGAGTCTCGTCCTCTGTCCTCCTCCATCCGTTATTCCGGATCAGTAGCCGCTCTGGTTTACCCTCATCGGGCTGGAAGACCCTTTTGTTTTGCACTTGTCGGTCTCGGGTTTATCTGATTTATTAGTGATATCGAATTCCCTCCCTCCCAATTTCAAACTTTGAAACCATTTTTCGATCCCTATTTCCCTTCCTTACCTTTCTCCTCCTAGTGGAATTAGGGTTCGGCAGCTGCTTCACTACTGGGAATTCAGGGAGGGTTTCTCTCTCCCTATATTACTCTCTTCCCCCTTTTCTCCGTCTCTTGAGCGTTTCCGTTCCCGGTTCCTCCATTCCGACTGGTTCCCAAACTTGTGCCATCCTCGATGTTGATGATTCAAATTCAAATTTGTCCACAACTCTGCCCAGCCTACTCCTTTGTTTAGATTAGTTGGAACTCTCCTTTTTATCAATCCAGCTGCAGCTGCTCCCCCTCCCTCCCTCCCTCCTCGTGATGATTGAGGGCAGGAGAATCTCGGCCAATCCCAGACCTTGTTCCGGCAGGAGGGTCTTAGCTAGGAAAAGGCCTCGCGTTGAAGGTCTCCTTAATACTGTCAAGAAACTTCACCGCCGCGAGATTTCCTCCAAGCGGGATCGTGCTTTCACTATGAGCAATGCCCAGGAAAGATTTCGCAACATGCGTTTGATGGTAATCCCCCACCGCTTTTCTTCTTCCTATTCCAGTTTCCTTTGAAACTCTAATAATCATCTGCCAGCACACTTAAATTACTGCTCTTGCATCTTAGTCACAGGGCTACTATGTGTTGTCAGTCTCCCGAGTAAACTCCGTGTGCTTTTACTTGCGCACCATATCTGCTTCATAAATTCCACTTCACTCTTATCTTTTTAGCTTCCCTCGGGCTGCATCTTTATGCATTAGTTTACAGTTTGCAGTACTGTTCTCAGGATGAATATGACACCCATGACCCCAAGGGCCACTGTTCGGTGGTACTTCCTTTTTTGATGAAGAGAACAAAAGTGATAGAGATAGTGGCTGCTCGTGATATTGTCTTTGCCCTTGCCCATTCAGGTGTCTGTGCGGCTTTTAGCAGAGGTAGGACAGTTTTGTCTTCATTTCATCGGCATCCTTTTGTTCTGTTAACTTACTTTCTGATTCTTTTCCTCCACTTTCAATGCAGAGACGAATCAGAGGATATGTTTTCTGAATGTAAGTCCTGATGAGGTCATTCGAAGCTTGTTTTATAACAAGAACAACGATTCTCTTATCACGGTTTCCGTTTATGCCTCGGACAACTTCAGCTCCTTAAAATGCAGATCAACTAGAATCGAGTGCGACTCCAAGCTTTCTTGTTCTCTTCTCCTATTTGCTTCAATGCTTCATTCTGCTATTTGCTGCTGCAACTGTTCTAAGTTATGTATGCTATGCAACTGTTAGGTACATACGCAGGGGCAAGCCGGATGCCGGGTTTTCCCTTTTTGAGTCCGAGTCTTTGAAGTGGCCTGGATTTGTAGAATTTGATGATGTCAACGGAAAGGTGCTTACGTACTCCGCACAAGATAGGTAGCTCTACTTTCTGGCATCTGATAAATATTGCGTTCTCGTGATTATAAATTCTGACATCTGACTTTGATATCATGGCAGCATATATAAAGTGTTTGATCTTAAAAACTACACAATGCTGTACTCCATATCGGATAAACATGTGCAGGAAATCAAGATAAGGTAATCTCTTTTTTGCTTCCCACTGCCTTGACTTGTTAAGTTGTTATGAAGACGCCTTCATAAAATAAAAACCTGTTGTGAAGACACATCTTAGGTACCTGAATTAAGTATCAGTTAGTCACAGCTGTAGCTGTGATTACTTTTAGTCCTTGTGATGACTTGCGTAAATTTTTAAATGCAGTAAACAATGGTGCATAATCCCTGAAATGTAGTAGATTGACTATGGGGAAGATTGTATGTAAATCATAGTTATCAAAAGCTCGACACTCTAGTCTGAGTCTTTCCCATGTGATGCTAGACACTCAAGTGTGCCTTGTCGTTGGTTCTAGGTGCCATGTGTGCCTTACAAGTCTCTTTGATACTTGCTTGCTGGATACAGATATGCAACAAAACATGCCAAAAAACAAGATCCCTTAACAAACTATAGTAGATTGAAGATAAGAAAAGGTGTAAAAGTTTCTTAGATTGTATGTCAATTTCTTATCTACTGACATATCTTTGATTTTAAATAAGGAAATTCAGTAAACATTCATAACTAATCAAAGCCCCAATAGTATAAGGAAAGTGTAACATGTAATAAAATGTAAACACCCAAGGTTTGACCTAGTGCTGATGGTGTATCGTGTATGACAACATATTACCCTCACCTGAAGGTCAACATTGGTACAAACATCATGTTTGAAAAAGACACATCATAGGATGCATCCCAGATTCCCAGTTATGGCGAGGTTTCAGATATAAATCCTGCTAGATAGAAACAAGGAAATATATTGAACATGCTATGAAAGGTTTTGTGTTAATTATCAGCATAAGCGAGTCGGCTAGTGTATATGGGCGTCTGCATTGTGCCTCGGTGTGGAAACCCCTCTGAGCCTTATTGTGCCTGGGTTGAGATTGAAATGAATGAGTAACAGAATAATTCACAAATTGGTTTGCTTCCTTTGTTTTTTCTGTTTTCCAGTGCATGTATGACTGTCGTTGTGTTTTACTTGTTTGTATCAGTCCAGGGATAATGTTGCTGATTTTCAATAGAGCAAGTAGCCATGTTCCTCTTAAGATTTTATCAATCGAAGATGGCACAGTGCTCAAAGCATTCAATCATCTACTTCATCGAAATAAGAAGGTTGACTTCATTGAGCAATTCAATGAAAAGCTTCTTGTCAAGCAGGAGAATGAAAATCTCCAAATTCTTGATGTAAGTTATGTTTGTATTTTTCATTGTTGGGTTCTTATCGTAGTGAAGATTGATTGCTTCCAGTGATAAGAACAATAGCTTTATATTTAACACTCCCGGAATGTGGATGGATCTATGTCCATACCCAACTTCTTTCAGTCCACATCGGAAAATTTAGGCTCTCTACCGTGAGTCATCAAAGGAGGAATAGGCAGACACCGGTTTGAAAAGCTAACGAAAAACAATCATCTTGTTTGTATCCACCATTCTCATTTTCAACTACATAAATTTCTGGTTTCTGCAGGTTCGAAATGCTGAGCTGATAGAAGTCAGTAGAACTGAATTCATGACCCCATCTGCCTTCATCTTCTTGTATGAGAACCAATTGTTCTTAACATTCAGAAATAGGACTGTTGCCGTCTGGAATTTCCGCGGGGAGCTCGTAACCTCTTTTGAGGACCACCTATTATGGCATCCTGACTGCAACACCAATAACATATATATAACAAGCGATCAGGATCTGATTATTTCCTACTGCAAGGCTGAATCTGATGATCAGTGGATGGAAGCAAATGGTAATTTTCCCTTCCCCCTATAATAAAGGAGCTAACTAAATGATATATTTCCCCATTAACGGGTTGTTTGCTTGAGGGTTTTGATGATGGATTTGGTCATGGAAACCCATCCATCGTAGACTTGAACGAAAATCCATCGTTTGCCTTACGGAATTAGGAAGATAAAATCTGTGGGGCACATAGATTTTGGGGATCCAAATTCGTGGACCTCACAGACTTGGAAGTTCTAGCTAGGATTTCTTCGTGGATTTAAATCCATGATGTACTTTCACATTATTATCCCTACATATTTTGTTATTGCCATGCTTAATCTTATGTTACGACTTGCGATGTAAATTTGTCGAAGGAAGCGATGGATTCTAATTTCATATTTTTCTGTGTACATGGCTCGATTAGTTGTTAATTATTAGTGCCTAGCCATGATCGATTCTTATTTATGTAGTTGAATCCATAATTTTCTCTCTTTCAATTCAATTCGTCTTTGGTTTTGCTCTGGTCCCAGCAAGAAGGGAACTGTAATCCTCAACGCTTGTTCTTTGCATTTGTTGTGTTTGTATAAACCTCCTAATTATTACGTTAGTGAGTTATTATATCCTATATTGCAAGTCTTTACCTGCTCGTCCCTTCTTTCTTTGGTTGGTAGTGTCAATGTTGCAATGTAAACATCTTAGCCTCTAAGGGTAGTAAAGTAATTTATGTTTTAAAACCATAAAATCTAACAAGCACGCAATATACTTGTTCAAATTCATAATGCCACCAAATCCATCATACATCCATGGGTTTTCAAAATCCAGATTTTACAAAAACCTTCATTTTTCAAATTCACGAAGCATCCCGTTAGTGATTGAGGTTCTATTATTGGAAGAATGTTGAAGAAATAATTTGAATGAGTGGTGGTATGCAATGATGATGATGATGCAGAGTAGGGCACTAGTAAGCTAAACTAAAAGAAATAATGTAAAAATGCCGGTGTCGGTTGATCAATGTTCATGTGACCAGGTGTTCCTGTTTAAATTATTTCGGATCCATTACCACATGCCTTGGTATGCAACTATTTTGAATGTTTTGGTGCTAATGATCGTAATCAAGCACATGTTGGAACAGCATATTAGGGGGTGTCTGCTGTGGAGGTCCTCTGTAACATGTACTGTTTGAGTCTTTAATTGCTGTCATGGATATTTTCGTATTCTCTGTTTAAATTGTCTGGTGAGTTGTGGTGTGATTGTCTCACCATGATGCTGATGTTGTTGCTGCAGCTGGGTCTATCAATGTCAGCAATATTTTGACAGGGAAGTGCTTAGCTAAAATAAATGCCTCCAATGGCAGTCCAAAAGGTGTTGAGAGCTGTACTGGTAGTGGTAGTAGCAGTAGCAGTAATAGTGGCTCAAAACAACAGAAGCACACGTCTATGAGAAGTACAGCAGCTGAGGCACTTGAAGATATAACTGCACTTTTCTACGACGAAGAACGCAATGAGATTTATACGGGCAACCGCCATGGCCTTGTTCATGTATGGTCTAACTGAATAATACTCGAGCCAAACTATGCGCATTGTCATTGTATCTATAGCCTGTATATCAGCAGCCGAAGTTGATGCTAATGTCTGATGCAGTGCTGCTGGTTCAGTTTTTCTCCTTGCTATTTCACCCTTTTCCTCTTGGCTTGGGGTGGTAGGGACGGGAGAGACCATCCTAAATTCATTACTAGGTACCATGTAATACCGGGCTGTACTCTTTTACTCTGATTTTGGTATTTGTTTCTAACATTGGAGCTGCCTGGCTGTATTGTTCTGTGCGGTAAGATAGAAGAATGGTTGTTGTTGAAGAATGTATGTTGTGTTCTTGTGTACTGAAGTAAACATGCTTTGTGAGTGAATTCCACCTTAATCTCAACTCCATCCGTTGTGATTCAGATATCAGAAGGTTAGAAACTGTTGCTTTTTCTTATATGGATGAATGATAACACTCGCAACGTTCCTCTACCAATTCTCCAGAATTATCATCTTTCTACAATGTATTCACTCATTTGGTTGATATTTTGCATTGTCCATCTATAGCCAAACAGCAAACATACATTCTCGCAGTGACCAGTCTCATTTGTTGGCATTGTGTAATACCCAAAACATCCTTCCTCACTGCGACCAGTTTCATTTGGAGCATACTTATTAGTTACCAACATTCATGCAGATATAAATATAACCATAAACGTAGGAGCATCCACTCCAAAGTTGCGGAGCTAGTGGCCAATTAGTCCTGATGTAAGTGCTGGGTTAAAGCGTGCTGGATTAAAGTAAGAGATGCAATGGTAAAGGGCATTTAGTTTACCTTTAATAGCCAAAAGATAGACAAACGCAGGACCAGCAGCCACACAGAGGCCAATGGACATGGCGAAAGGGCCATAGTGGTCACTGACACATAAGTACATAACACTACATAGCTTCAGTCACCCAAGATTATGATGGCTAAAAATGATTAGACCATCTGAACAAGTTTGTTCTTTGCAATGAATGCTACAAGCCCCATAATACATATAACTAGTAAAAGCAGAAACTCACGCGAAACAACAATAAACGTCCTCTAGGTTCCCATTCAGAATTGCGATTTGTCAAGCAACTCAAAATAAGGATGTTCCATTGCTGCTTTTGCTGATATTCTTTCGGCAGGGTTGTATTTAAGCATCCTCTGCAGAGTAGAGAAACAAATTGTGCAATGTTAGTCCCCAAAATGTCGTCAAATTATAAATGAGGTAAAAGACGACCGAAGATGATTCGAAGTCAAGCATGCTAGGAGGAGCCTTGGAGCTCACGCCAGGGACCAACATTGGGAAGACAGTTAAACCTTAGCTGACAAAAACCAGCCACAGGCCTACATTTCCTACAATTAAACATTATGGTGTTGAAAACCACGAGTGTACTGTAGAACAGTAGGTTACAAGAATTTGTACGCACCGATAGAAGGTCCAGCCCATCTGGACCAAGAGAAGGAACAGCACGGGCAAAGTTCTGTGGCTCCCATTGCGGGTACACATGCCAATCTCGAAGACTAGTAACTCCTGGCCAATCCTTTTCAGTTGGTGTTCCTAACAGCCTTGAAAGGAACCATAGAATTCACTTCAGAAATGAAAAAGGACGGCAAGGGTCAAAGGCAGCAAAGAGGAGTACCTGAAGATGTGAAGCAGCTGTTGGAATTCTGAGTCGCCTGGAAACAGGGCTTGCCGTCGGACCATTTCAGCTGAAACAAGAAGAAGAAGAAGAAGAAGAAGAAGAAGAAACAAGAGATGATTATAGTAGGAAAAGGAGTTCTGTGAGAAATTTGAAAGATACAAAAAATAAGAGAGAGGAGAAAGAGGGAAGCGGACCAAAGATGCAGCCGACGGACCACATGTCAACGGCGGTGGAGTAATGAGTTGAACCGAGCAAGACCTCAGGTGCTCTGTACCAGAGAGTGACTATTTCGTGAGTGTAGCTCTTAAGAGGAACGGTGAAGGCGCGGCCGAGACCAAGGTCCGCGATCTTAAGGATGCCTTTATCCTGATCGAGGAGGAGATTCTGAGGTTTGAGATCGCGGTGGAGGACGCCATGGCTGTGGCAGTGAGCAACGCCCTTGCAGAGTTGGAAGAGGAAGCTCTGGATGAGAGTAGGAGGTAGTGGCCTAGGGTTTGGGCCCTTGCGGTGGGAATCGATGAACTTCTTCAGATCCGTGTCTAGGTACTCAAACACCAGGTAGAGGTTTGATTTCGGAACAGCAGTACTGTTCACCTTGTTAGCATCGTGGCGGCGGCGGCGTGTGCGGTCGCGGTCGTCGTCGTCATCGTCCGTATGAGCGCTGGAATTACCGGAAGCGTCGACGTGTTCGACGGAAAGGAGTCGGACGACGTATAGTGATTGAGACAGCATCTGAAGCAAAGAGACCTCCCGGAGAGCAGTTGGAGGAATGCCTTCTTCGTCCATCTCCAGCCGCGTTTTCTTGAGAGCCACCAGTTGCCCCGTCGATTTGTCTTTCGCCTTGTAGACTTTTCCGTATGTGCCCTCCCCAACCTTTTCCAGCTTCTCATATTTCTCCATCCTGGTTTCCTTCAGTATCCAATCGGCGATGAATGAATCGAGAACCGTAGCAAGCCAAGAAAACAGACAGAGCGCTGAGAGTAGGAATCGCAATTCGCAAACCCCCGCTCCCTCAAACGTATTTAAACATTTGAATAAATGAGTTGCTTAGTTTGGACGGGGAGCGGCACAAGGGCAGTGTCCGGAGGCGCGTTGACGAGATCAGATCTAGATGTTTGAAATTCAAATTTCAAGAGTGACAAAAAAAAAAAAAAAAAAGGAACGAAACGGGAAACCAACAGCAGCGTATAAACAAGGTGGACACTGTAAAAAAAAAGTATAAACAAGGTGGAGCCAAGAGATGATGGGAAGTTGGTGATTGAAATAAAAAGGGAAATCGGTACGGTATTAATAGGGGTGGAAATCGGTATGATATCGGTATCCCAATACCAAATATCGAAATCTCGAATACCAAATTATACCCTAAAATTAATCTCAATCTCAATCCCTAAATAATTTCGGTATCCCAATCCCAATCCCAATCCCAATTCCTAAATAATTTCGGTATCCCAATCGGTACCTCGGTATCCCAATTGGTATTATCGAATACATAATTAATTACCTTTACAATTAATAATTAAATATATAATTTAGATTTTATTATTTAATTTAGGGCAAAGAGACTAAGCAAATAGTCTTGAGTTGCCTAGAGCTAACATCTCAAATTCTTGTAATTGGTAATCTTTAATTTGACGAATTTGAAGTTGAGAGACCACTAATACTAGTGTGAAATAGTGATGTAATGATCTATGTATAATTAAATGACGAATTTGGTGGTTGATGGTCGCGTAGTAGTGAATGAGAGAGTCTAGTTGAGAGGATTAAATACACACTAGCTTATATTTCGGTATTGATCGGTATTTCGGTATATATACCGATCCCAATCCCGTAATCCCTAATACCAAATAACAATTGAAATTCAATCCCAATCCCACAAAATAATACGTGTATTCGGTAATACCAAATATAGAAAAATTTGGTACGGTATTCGGTATATCCCAAATACCTGTACCAAACTTCCAGCCCTAGGTATTGGTATTCTAATACCAAATATTGAAATTCCGAATATCGAATTACACCTTAAAGTAAATCTAAATCACAATCTCTAAATAATTTTTATATCTCAAATTCTCAATCCCAATCCCTAAATATTTCGGTATCCCAATCGGTATTATCGAATATGAAATTAATTATCTTGCAATAAATAATTAAATATATAAATTGGATTTGATTGTTTAATTTAGGGCAAAGAGACTAAGTAAAGAGTCCTAAGTTTGCCTAAAGCTAGGATATGGATAAGGAGAATGGAGGAGAGGTGACATCTCAAAATTTTGTCATTAATAATCTTTAATTTGACGAATTGGAGGTTGAGAGACTACTAATACCAGTGTTTGCTTTTTAGCATTATGAAAATAACAAGAGATTAGGTGAGAAACGAGAGTTACTTAAACTGGAAAGTCAAAATTGAGTTGGATAGGGGCTTCTAAGTTGTGAAAGAGAGAGGAATGACTAAAGATTGTGTGCTATATTTCATTAATTTTTAAAGTTTGGTATCTCTTGGTATTTTGGTATATACCAATCTCAGTCCCATAATCCCGAATATCGAATAACACTCCAAAATAAATCACAATTCCAATCCCTAAAATATAAGCCGGTATTCGATAATACCAAATAGTGATAAATTCGGTACGGTATTCGGCAATATCCCGAATATCGGTACCAAACTTCCAACCCTACTTGAAACCATGGTTGTTCCACTGGAGGGTTGAACCTAATTCAATCGGTGCGGATTGTAAAACTAACATGAATATAATATGTATGATTGGTATGTTTGATTTTTGGCCTATAAAGAAAATGACATATTTTAGTGAATTTAATTAATATAATTTATTTATTTATTTCATGAATTTAAAAGTTAAATGTTGATATTATTTGCTGTATTTAAAAATGAGTATTTTTTATTTTGTTTGGAATTTTGTATTTTATTTAAAAATAGATAAAGATTGTAAGTAAAGTGGTCGAACCATACCGCTTACTAACCGTCGCAACGTTATAAACCGATTTGACAACCATGAAGGGAACATATCACATCAGTAACCTATGCTCAATAATCATGCATAACCTTCTATTACCATTTATAGAAGGCTTCTAAATTTTTCTCCTATTAATTTTAACAGGTTATATATCTTTCACTTTAAGTCGAATTTTAAAAAAAATTGCAAGGATAAATCATATTGATTCTGCTCTTCAAAATGACATCTACTTTGATATATTTTAGAGCAAAAATTTTTGATTATTATTACCAGACCATCCATGTGTTACTACTTAGTATGTATACAAGATTATACCAAGTGGTATGAAAGTATACCATGGTGATATGAATATACTATATCGTAGAATGGTTGTATACATAATAATATGAATATACTAATTATCATTTACCACCAGTGACCACCCTATACCATGGTGGTATATGATAGTATTTTGGTCTTAAATATTTTTCCCATAAATTTGTAGATCTAATAGATCACATTGAAATCGTTCGTTTTGGGGGGAAAATCAAAATTCGAGTTAAAATGAAGGTGGTATGACTCGCTCCTACTGTCACTCTAGAAAATGGCCAAGTGTAACCACCTCCTAAAGTGTAGTATAGCGGGTTTGAGTTTTAATGTCAACCCGGGTCCTAAGTGTGATGACTACTCCGTGAGTTCTTATTATTTAGCAGTGAAAGTGTAGTGAAGGTCCAAACAAGCAAACAAGCAAAGCAGTTAAAGGTTGTTTTCAAGTTGAGAGAGGTCACCCCGGATATGGTTCCTCCTAGACTGCAGTTAAGCCGGATTGTAATTTACCAAGTTCAATTTCAATGATAGTTATACTGCGGGAGGTTTTTA